GAAATGTGACCTTCAGTAGTAATTTCAGTGTCAAGTTCAAAGTGCATCTTAATGTGATAGTCTTTGAGGTTCCTCTAGTCTCCATCAGTATCTGGCCTTTTTTAGGAATTTGAGTTTTGTTTTTATATTTTCCCTCCATTTTATTTGGGACCTTCTATTGTGTCCCGGGTTGGAATGGTTGGTAGTGATAGACAGGTACCATGGAGTTCTTCTGATCTCAAATTAGAAGAGTCTATGGTTTGTGTGGGGTAGCCCTGTGAACTAGTTTCTTCTTTAATTCTTTGGTTTCCTTCATTCTCTTTTGCTCCAGGTGAGTAGAGAACAGTAGTTGTATCTTAGATGGCCATTCACAAGCTTTTAAAACCCCAGATGCTACTCACCAGACTAGAGTGTATAGCATTATCTTTATGAACTATCTTAATGCCTATTGACAATATTGTTTCCTGAGACTACAGTCCGAAACCTTTTAATTTAGTAAACCAATCCCATGAGTTATATTGATATCTCTAGGAAGTCTTATTAACAAAGCTCCTTACATGCTTAAAAATATTTTTTGAAAGTAATTTTATGCTTTAGAAATAATTTTGGGTGCAAGTCTTGGGAGTAGTCCTCAAAAATGTCAAGGTCATATCTTACTAATCATTTGGAAAAGTGGGAAGAGTGATTAAAAAGTAAAATTTAATTAGTTTACATTAGAAAAGCATCTGATGCACATCCTAAGTCATTATGAAATACCTCTGAAGGTCTCAAAGGTACAAAGTAATATTTGATAAAGTAACAACAACAACAAAGGTACTGAGCTTACAGCTTCCAAAATCATGGAATTATGGAAAATGAACACAGGATTTAATATAGTTAAATACTCTAATTTTTGCATTAAAAGTCTATTTTTGTCATATCATAAAAACAGTCTGACAAGACAGCTATTTTTTCTTAATTGTTAAGTACTAGTTAAATTAAGGGAGCTCTGGTAGCATAGTGGCTAAAGCACTTGACTGCTAACCAGAAGGCTGGTGGTTCAAACCCACCAGCCACTCCTTGGGAGAAAGGTTGGGCAATCCTACTTCCGTGGTGATATTGCCTAGGAAACCCAAGGAGGGGTCGCTATGAGTTGGGGCCAAATCGACGGCACATAACAACAACAACAATACATTGGACAGTGTTTCACTGCTGTTCATGAGCTTTCCACTGGCCAATTCTTTGAGAAGGGATGCCCCCTTCTTTCTTCCAAGTCTGCTTAATCTGGAAGCTCCACTGAAACCTGTTCACCATGGGAGATCCTGTTTGTATTTGAAATATTGGTAGTATAGCCTTAAGTGTCACAACAACACTCAAGCCACCACAGTAAGACAAACTGACAGACGATTGGTGGTTGCCG